CGGGACTTGCGCTTTGACTCTCGCCACTTTTTCGAGCTCTCATGCCCTCGTGAGCCCGAGAGAGCGGCGAAAGCCAACGTTTAAAAGGAGTCCCGTTATGTTTTTCGAAATGTCGAGTTGCTGGTACTTTGTTCGAGTCATTGGTAAAAAGATGATTCGCTGGTGCATCGCTCGCATCCCGCTATCCGCTAGCAAATCGCTCGGTTCGCAAAGTCTGACACCGGCCTCATGGTGGTGTCTCTGATATGTTGTATGTTCAAGCTGTTGTTTAGAGTACAACTTTGCGCTCTTCCGTCAATTTTTCGCTCTTGAGTACCTGTATCTTCTCCTTCAAGCTTATGCTGCAAGCAATGTCATTTTGAATTCAAGTCCGCGGACATCCTTAAACCAGGGTGAATAACGGTCGAGGAAATCCTCGACAGGGGGTCGTATTTGCTCCGATGAGAGTTGGGAGGGGGTCGTAATCAAAAGGTTCATCAACGGACACAACGGTGCTGCTGCCACTTATTTGCTGTCATCATTAGTTTCACAAGTGTTGTAGTTAGCCTAATGCAAATAATATCTTACAACTGTCTGGAATTAAAATTTAAATGGAAAGTGGTTGGTTTGGTTCGTAGTGATCAGTATGGCATAGGAAGGCAACGCGTCCTGCAAAAGAATCGTAGGGAAAGGGCAGCGAGTATCTACTCTAGAATGATGCACATGCTTCGAGAACTTAGTGGAGGAACAGCATCTTGGTAGAAAGTTCAAAACAGGCAGATTCGCAGCCTTCTTGGCATCATCAGATCCTGCAACCGCAAGCTGTCATTCATCAGAACGGGTTGGAAAGGAAGCGATTTGAATAAAGGAATGATCAGACATCACTATGACCACAAGAGTTATCCTAATTAGTTAATACTGGAAATATCTTTTGGTGTGATTAAGCAAGTCGTCACTAGGACAAAACACCTTCCCAATGACTCCGAGTGGGGTCACTGCATGGCGCATACAAGAACGGAATGGATCTGCGCCAAGTGCATCATTTTCAATTTACTCCATCGAACTGACGTGTACAGAAGTATTTTGAAGGTGTTCAAAGAAGTCCCCTACTACGGCGAGGGAGTAATAGAGTTTTCGAGTGGCTTCGAAAATTTCCTTGACATTTCCTCGACGCAGATTTCTCGCGAACTAGAAAGCGTTTCGAACAAATGGAGCACCTGTTAAAAAGCGTGAATCTTCTACTTTACAACGCTTTCCTCGGATTTTCAAAGCATTGCCAATGAAGACAGCTACTGTCTTCCTAAGAGTGGGAACTCGCATGTAAATTTCAATTTCCTCGACAATTTCTCGACGTCTCCCACTCTCGAGAATAGGTGTGCTTAGAAAAACGCTCAGCACAATTTAGAAACTAGAAGTCTTGTGCATTCAAAAGCTGCCTTCACTTTTTGAAATGGTTATCAATGAAGAAAGTTATAGTCCTTTGAATAGGGGGTACATTTGACGATTTTTCCAACTAGCGCGCTCTAGGCACAGCGCGCGACGCGATCGCGGGTAGTTAGCGCCGCTATACTGGAGCGCGAGACTGTTCAACTGTGTAGGGGCAGTACCTCCTTCAATGTTCTACTTTCCGGCCAATGTGGCAAAGGTTAAATGTCTTTAAAGGAAAGAAGGAGAACCTAATCTGAGCAGAATTGAATCTAGCATTTGGATCAAGCCGCATTTGCGTGGCAGTGGCGCTGCGTCCCTCTCGCACATCTGAAACTAGCATTTTTTGATATGAAACCGGATGTGCAGGACAAAAAGGGGTCGTATCAGAGTCATGTTTTGGAGGGGGGTCGTAAAGAGGCGGTTATTTCCTCGACACGATTTCACCCCTGCCCTCAACCCTCTCTGCAGGGTTTGCAAAAAATTACGTTCATAGGAGATTTCGACTTGTTTTGTTTGTTAACTGCTGCGGCTAAAAACAGCAGTTAACTGTTAAATGTTAACTGCTTGCTTTGGCTCCAGTCGAAGTGCGTTCGTAGTCCCGCCTGGGCGATAGTTTTATTCACAACCCAGCATACTTGTGAAACGTTCATAGCAGACATTGATCGTGAGAAAGCAGCAGCATAAATAAAAAAGTATTAACAAGTGAGCTACCAAAATGTTAATGATAGGTTGGAATAGAAAAAACCTTCAAAATGTATTCTTCAAGTAACTTCATATTTAACCCATTCGCGACCGCGCAGGATTGCGCAATAGCAGCAGCGTCAGGAGATTTTTCTTCAATAAAATTCGAGTGGAGGGAGATTTCCTCTGCCCAGGGCTGGCGTAGATGAGCGAGGGTATGAAGATTCTTTCCATGGAAGAAAACTTTCCAAATTCCATTTGAAGCCCTGCAGCCACAGTAATGCCATTGTCCCGAGTGAGAGCTTTGTCAGCCACCGGTGGCTGACATTGTCACGAATGGGTTAATGTATGAGCAGAACCTCGTCTCATCTATACTGATCGAATAGGTAGCGTCGAGCTCCTCCTATGCTTTCCAGAGCGACTGTTTTCAGCTTAGTGGCGCTTCGACAGTGCCTAGAGTGTCTCAACGTACGCTAAATGAAGAGAGTAAGCGACAGGATTTGAAGTAAGAGCCTAGGCTGTCGATTGTTGTTTTTTATGTGATGAAGTCCGGAAAGTTCTACGGACCACATCTCTACACAAACTTCGAGAATCACAAGAAACAGAACTACGGTTGATCTCGTGGGTCTATGTCTTGTGACTTCTCAAAAAACGATCGCTAATTGAATGAAGCTGAGGTTTTCTCACACTAAGAATCAACGAAAGAGCCCTGAACATTAACAAAAGTAACAGTGTACCATTCCGACTTACAAGAAGAAGAAAAGCTAAGAAGAATTTTCGTCACTGACACATTCACTTTTCGAAAATATACATTATATAATATATATATATATATATATATATATATATATATATATATATATATATATATATATATATATATATATATATATATATATATATATATATATATATATATATATATATATATATATATATATATATATATATATATATATATATATATATATATATATATATATATATATATATATATGGTTGGTACGAAGTTAACGCGATTTGCACCTTTTCTCAAGCCCACCTATTTCAAGCACATGCTTTTTCTCTCATCTATATATGCATCATCATTATCAATCACTTGTCGCTAACGACTAACCGCAGATAACCGCTCAGCTCCCAAAAGGCTGGTAGCTGCAAGCTGAAAAAGGCAGTGAAGTCGATTTCGAATTCCTACGGTGATCGTATTTTCTGTCAACAAGATGATGCTGAGCAAGGAGAGCAGACATCCTTTGGAAGAAGGCTGATCATCGTTGCACGTTGGATGTGACAAGAATTTTCAACAAAGTTTCGTAATCTCCAGTCTCTCAAATTTCGAAAGCGTGGTCTCGGTTGTCGTATCCGAACGTACTTTTTTTGAGTTTTAAAGGAATGTTTATTGGAATTCGCCCCACGAGTCCTGCGTGATCGCAATGAGGTTGCACTGTACCCATAGCTGTAACGAGGAAGACGTTTCTAGTGGTCAACTCGAAACGTTGGGGCTCGTCTCGCACGTCATCAGTAGTCAATCAACAGGGATTTTTGGCAAATTTTCAATCCTTCCGCATAGCAGCGAGAACCTCAATGAGATGTGCATATGACCCACAAGGTGTCCTGATCACATAGCAAAATTAGCACCGCTGGTACACAGGTCGATTTCTGTTGCGATGCTTGTGTCCCGCCATTCGCAAGATCTGATAACAGCCTGAAGATGGAGCGAAAGCAAAACGGCACAAGAAAATGAGTTAGCATTTCTAGTCAATCCACACAAGAGGAAGCACACCAAATTACCGGGCTGAAGCGCGGATTGACTAATTACAAATGACGCTATCATGAGTCTACATCAGTACAACCGTTCTTCATCTTGTGATATATACAGGGAGACCCAAAAAAGAGTCACTTTGCTCATGGCGCACATCATCAAATTTTTCATCGCACAGGAGTGCCGATGTTGATGAAAGTTTTACGGCAGAATATTCCTTAGGTGTCCCCCGTAAGCAGAAGCAGGCCCTCCTTCACTGCCCCACCGTCTTCAGAATATGACGTCATCTGCCGTCACCGTCGAGCTCAAATGAACTTACCGTAATCGCTCCAGCCTGGAGCTGCTACATAGTTTATTCAAGAGACCAGCTTTGCTCCGCCCGGTATCGCGCGTATCATACGACCTAAGATTCCGCAGGCACTCCAGGTATATTTATCACACATAGCTCTGTAAACACTCGGCCATTCTCCTGAATTTTGATAATTTAGCGGTGAATAGGGTTATGGTGTTAGCCTCACAATTAAAGGCACGAGTCGGGATTGAATTGATGCGTTATTTTGTTCAAACATTAGGCAAGGGTGCAATGAGGAACATTAGTGAGGAGAAAAAGCAAAAAGCACCATAGAAAACACTAAATTTCCCTTAGGAGGCCGGCCGTAGTACGACGGAGAGACACAGCGCTGCGAGGAGAGGGAGAACGCGAGATAGTACGTCATACGCGAGAGACGCAGAGACCACGTATGCCGTGGTGGATTACGCTGGCAGCGCGGGCAGCGCGGCGGGCAAGGCCTTAGCGCCATTGCCGCGCACTTTTGGGTCGCGATAGTGTCGCGCCCTCAGTGCTTGGGGAGCCCACTATCGCACCCTGGGAAGAACTTCTGCTGGTTGCCTAATCCTGACTCGTGGCTTTAAATTGCGACATTATCATAAGTGAGCATCTAATGCTGATCCTTCATTCACAGTGTTCGCAAATCCTAAGCTTTGGCGGTCATTAAATGAGTTCTGGTCTTCTTGGTATTAGATCAAGAATGGAATGTACCATTCGCCAAGAATCTGCTCAAGCCAAGCTGATTATATCGATAGAATGTCCACGACCCACCCCTAATAACACTTATGAAAAGAGCCCCATAGTGCCAACGTGAACTGCGCAATGGAATTGCCGACTTCTGCCTTCTAAGACTCCTTATCAGCCCCTATCAGTTGCTATCATTTTTGTCGCCCACCTACAATGTCCAGGTACCACCCCATATAACACTTGTAATTATGAACGCTCAAGTGTCAATGTCAGCTGCTCAACGGAATGGGGACTTGTGAGTTCAAGGCGCCCTGACAGCCCTTATTAGTTTCTATCATCCTATTTCACCCCCACCTCATACAACACTTGTAAGTATGAACGCTCTAGTGTCAACGCGAACGCTTGAGTCAAATTTAATGAAAAGAAAAAATCGAGAAGGATTGGGAGAAAAATTAAAACGAAAGTAAAAGGAAACAAAGGAAAGTAACTGACGAATACACAGGCGCGGGAAGCAGTAAATGCCTTGAATTTGTCGCGCGGTTCCCGCACGCGGCAAGCCGCGTGTACGACGTCGCGCGGTGACTGCCCACAGGCCTAATCCTTAGCTCTTGCTTTACAGCCAAACCCCCGAAATGAATTCGATCCTACTGAATGGTTGTTCTTATACTGGTAGGAAAGTGGTATCACAATCACGATATCTTTCGCCTCTAGTCGACCATTTTGCGGACGGACAGACAGACGTGCAAACACACAAACAAACCGACACACCAAACTTCGTGATAATGACGTGATTGACCGGTGGATATCTTCCTACAGAAACTATCAATGAGGACCGCTGTTGACCGGCTTTCAGATGACATCGTGATGGTCTGTGGTCCCTCGATGACCTCCTTGAGCTCGCACAGTGCACCATATCTCCGCGGGAAAATTGTCTGATGTCGTTGTTGTGGAGAAATGTGTGTGTACTACACGCGGATCAATCGTGATAGGTAGTGGCGGAATGTAATGAATGAATCGATGATCACAAAAACGAAAAAAACTTAACGAATCACAAAAAAACGACCCTAAACGAATAACAGAACGCTGATAACAAAATTGTGAGAAGAAAGCCCCCACAGATCACTTGTTCACTGGATAGGAATTCCCACGCTTAATCACCGCTGAGAACACTTCGGCTCTTATCAGCAAGTCATCATGCACACACAACACCTTTCAATTGACTTAAAAATACGAGCGAAGACCGACGGCATGGCGTATACTCGACCGAAACCAAATGGCGCTGAGCGTATCTAGTTGTACCAGCGACAGCAAAGCGATGCGTACCCAGGCATTTTGAAAGGTCTCAACGTTACCCAGCGACGGTGTGGAAGGAATCCGGTTTTAAGTGAAGAAAAAAAAAACCCCACATTTTCTCGATTTCTTTTCAAGTAGCAAGTTTTCAAAACAAGTCAGGCAACCGTTCAAAAGAACAATTTTCTACTTTCTGATATAAATAATAAAGGATAAAGCATTTGCCGTTGATCAATCCCTTTTTGGGATGCGGCACGCATTCTACTTCCATTTGTACATTCGTAGTGGCGTTTGAATGCGATGTGGCCTATACAATGACTTGCGGGGGCCAGCCGATGTTCAGTGTTTTTATCCTCCCAGACAAGTCTGGTACCAATTAACCGACCCCGGAGGGATGGAAGGCTTGGTTGGCCCGGGCGACTCACGACCCAGGATTTGATCCCCGGACCGCTCGCGTGGTGAGCGCGCCACTTGCCACTACACCACTTCCGCCCTTTCTAAAACTTTTTAAGACTGTTCACAATTTCCACTACTTTCCTAAAACTTCACAATTTTCCGGGCAATTGTAAAGAAAGTGATCGTCTTGAAAACAACAAAAATCCGCACGGAAATTTTGATGAAAACGGGACGATAACGATAACGGTATCATATCTAGCACGCTCTTATCGCACCCCTTTCCACATCGATAAGTCTTGGTTTTTGCTGAACGGAAGTGGATTTCCCACTGAAACTTCACGTGTTCTAACATTGGACCTCCAGTACACAGCTTTCCTTATCGTCCCTATGAGAATTATCGTGACCACTTCCTTTAATAGTTTTAAGGAACAATTGAATGTTTCGACGTCATCTTATGACTGTTATGATGCCCTTTACAATACAGAACCCCTTGTTGTGCATACTCGTCACCTCCGAGAGGCTCTGACGCCAAGGGGAAGGGGACAAAGCGTGAGGCGCAAAGCTTACGCAAGAAAAGGAGCGGCGGTTGCCGAGGGACCAATCTGGTTATCACTTCATTATATAAACCAGAACTTTGGTGTGTCGGTTTGTCGGTGTGTGTGTGTCGTTCTGTCCGTCCGGACCAACCGCTCACAAAACCAGGGAGTACGAAGGGCAACACTTCGTGATGTTGATGTCATGATCATGATAACACCCACAGCGGCTATATAAACACCGATCGAGCACACTCAGTCTCATTCTACATGGTGCTGCCGTGGCAGCCGGATGAGCGGGGAGGGGGGAGGGGGGGTGGAGGGGGTAGAGGGAAAGGGGGCAAGAAAGGGGAGGCTGGAAGGGAGGGGGAGAGAGAAAGAGGGAGGGAAGGGGAGAGGAGAAAGGGAGGGAGAACATGGCGCTGTCATGCGCCGGAGAGAAGGGTATAAGGACGACCGTTTTTAAGAGTAAGGTCTATATTCATGTTGACGTATTATTCTAACCTGATGTGGTGATTGTGATAACACCCACAATGGCTACAAAAACACCGAACGAGCACACTCAGCCTCATTCTACATGGTGCTGCCGGGGCAGCCGGAGTCGGCGGGCGGTAGAGGGAGGGGGAAAGCAGAAGGGAAGGGGAGAGGAGGGAAGTGGGGGAGAGGAGAAAGGGAGGGAGAACATGGTGCTGCCATGCGCCGGAGAGAAGGGGTATAAGGAGGTATAACACATTCAATAGTGAGGTGGTTAATGGAGTACGTCATGCTGCTATTCCGTGGTTCCTCCCTACCCTGTGATGCGCGCGATAGCGGGCGGAGCAAACCTGGTCCCAAAAATAAAGAGGGAAATGTGTGAAAAAGGACCGCGTGACCTCCTATAGTGGCACCTACCAGTATTTCTTACCCTGTATTTCTAACGCATTAATTAAAGGGAAGGATTTTCACAATCATTCTGTTCTGCGAACTTGTGTTTATGTCGATGCACAGCGTGAATTATCGGCCGTGGCTGGAACTGGACTTACTTAGGCATGCCAGCGACGTGAAGAGCAATTTCTCTCAGGAGTGACGCATTGAGACAAAATGCGAGGAAATGAAGCGATCGAATGTTATGAGCGATATAGGAGAAACAGTCTCGATTATCCAACATCATTGAGGTGTGAGTGTTGCAAGCACGTGCAGTTACTGACAATTTATCAGGTGGTGTACTTTTACACACGAGCACGGGATGCAAATGAAAGTTTATTGATTCAGCCATGCCATCCAGTCCCTGGTTTGGTTCCTGAAACCATACTTGTATGCAAGAAGGAATAGGAAGGAAATTTATGCTCATTTCTTACCCATCCAAATCCTCTCGACTTATTTTCTTCTTTCTTCGGAACAACTCCAGAAATTGAACAGCAGTGGGTTTGTCACCGGAACTTGCTACCGCAACCACGACGTTATCTCTTGAATGAAAATTTGCCGTTACCGTAGGTGCAGAGCACCTGCTGGCGAGGAATGGTCAATTGGTCAGTCCGGCCGTTGAGTCAAAATGAGATGTAGTCCGATGGACGCGTCTTGCGACGCTGAGCTCAAATCCGTTTTCGTTATCTGCGGAACGATTCTCTGAAAGAAGTTACGAGGGATTCTTCTCTTTGTGGCCCCACTGTGGCACCCTCTACATCCCCTAGATCTTTCTTTATTCCTGTGCACACTGCGAAAAGCTGTTTTGTTTTGATCACTATGTGAAAACTATCACATGTGCTCGCAATTTATTGAAATTTTCGTATATTTGTGAGCCTGTGTCCTTGTGTTTTGTTCCGCGTGTCAACTTCATCATTAAATAAAAAACCTAAAAAGAAGACCAATCAACTAGGCCGCTTCCTGGCTCTTCTTATGCTGGCCGCGGCGATAGGGGAATGTAGAGGGTGCCACAGTGAGAAGAATTCCCTCGTAACTTCTTTCAGAGAATCGTTCCGCAAATACCGAAAACGGATTTGAGCTCAGCGTCGCAAGACGCGTCCATCGGACTACATCTCATTACAAATGGCCGGACTGACCAATTGACCATTCCTTGTCAGTAAAAAGTAAATGCTAGCTTAGTAAATATAATAGTAATAAATTCCCCATTAAGGTATGTGTAGCTCATACTAATTTCTGAAATAAAGTAGACTAAGTTTGAGGCATGTTGCATTTAGCCAAAGGTGGGATAAGGGGCAAGCTGTGAAAGCTGACCTAATTGGCACATCCGAATTCGTGTGCTTAAGACATTTAAAACGCACTGTTCATACGAGCAATGTGTGAAATCGCCTAGAGCTGAAGAAGGAAATCACGAATATTCCAGCTTAGATCTTCAAATCACATTCTGTTCATAGGTGACTGCTTTCATCCTCACCAGTCTAGAGGAGCCTGATAAGTAAGGAACGGCAGATCTGGTAAGACTTCTGCACAAGTTTAAGAATCCCGATTTGCCCCGTCTTCAGATGTCGTCTTGGTTATATTGAAATCGCATATGTTCTTTCCG